AAATGTGCGAACCTTATTTTGGCCCATTCTATGACTGTACCAAATTGCATCGAAATCGGTGAGACACAGTTGTGACACTTCCCTTGTGAGAGCAACAATACAAGAGAGCAATATTGATAATAACAAAATTTGCAACAACTTTTGTTCTAAAAATTTTCTTATCACATGCTCCGATTTCCAAATATTACCATTAGCAAATAGTAAAACAAAAAATTCATCAAATTTTCAAATTTTCGTATTTTTCTCAATATTGATACTTCTGAGAGGAAAAATAGAAGAGAGCAATATCGTTAATAACAAAATTTGCAACAACTTTTGTTCTAAAAATTTTTCGATAACATGCTCCGATTTCCAAATGTTACCATTAGCTAATAATAAAACAAAAAATTCATCAAATTTTTAAATTTTCGTATTTTTCTCAATATTGACGCATCTGAGAGCAAAAATACAAGAGAGCAATATTGTTAAGAATAATATAAGCAACAACTTTTGTTTTAAAAATTTTTTGATAACATGCTCCGATTTCCAAATGTTACCATTAGCTGATTGTAAAACAAGGAAATTCATAAATTTTTTGAATTTTCGTATTTTTCTCGATATTGACGCATCTGAGAGCAAATATACAAGAGAGCAATATTGTTAAGAACAAAATTTGCAACAACATTTGTTCTAAAAATTTGTTAATAACATGCTCCGATTTCCAAATATTACCATTAAATAATAGTAAAACAAGAAAATTCATAAAATTTTTAAATTTTCGTATTTTTCTCAATATTGACGTATCTGAGAGCAAAAATACCACAGAGCAATATTGTTAAGAACAAAATTTGCAACAACATTTGTTCTAAAAATTTTTTGATAACATGCTCCGATTTCCAAATATTACCATTAATTAATAGTAAAACAAGAAAATTCATCAAATTTTTAAATTCTCGTATTTTCCTCAATATAGACGCATCTGAGAACAAATATATAAGAGAGCAATATTGTTAATAACAAAATTTGCAACAACTTTTGTTCTAAAAATTTTTTGATAACATGTTCCGATTCCCAAATGTTACCATTAGCTAATAATAAAACAAAAAATTCATCAAATTTTTAAATTTTCGTATTTTTCTCAATATTGACGCATCTGAGAGCAAAAATACAAGAGAGCAATATTGTTAAGAATAACATAAACAACAACTTTTGTTTTAAAAATTTTTTGATAACATGCTCCGATTTCCAAATGTTACCATTAGCTGATTGTAAAACAAGGAAATTCATAAATTTTTTGAATCTTCGTATTTTTCTCGATATTGACGCATCTGAGAGCAAATATACAAGAAAGCAATATTGTTAATAACAAAATTTGCAACAACTTTTGTTCTAAAAATTTTTTGTTAACATGTTCCGATTCCCAAATGTTACCATTAGCTAATAATAAAACAAAAAATTTATCAAATTTTTAAATTTTCGTATTTTTCTCAATATTGACGCATCTGAGAGCAAAAATACAACAGAGCAATATTGTTAAGAACAAAATTTGCAACAACATTTGTTCTAAAATTTTTTTGATAACATGCTCCGATTCTCAAATGTTACCATTAAGTGCAAGAAAAACGACAAATTCATAAAATTTTCACTTATGTGTGTTTTGAAGAAAGATAAAGAAAAGAAAGAAAGATATTTTGAAAATCTGTTTCGGTCATTGGAAAGCTTACAATTTGTACTATAAATACTGATAATTCCATAAGAATTCATTAAAGCTACGATTTATTACGATTTTTTGAAAATAACTGCTTATTCTAAAATATACGATTCCTGGCTTGATCCTAAGAAGTGGTGATATCTATGATTGTATTGGTTATGGATTATGTTCTCTTGAAACGTTTTTCTCTATCTCTTTTAGTTTATTAATCATAACAGAATTGAATCTAGATGAATATCAAATTTGATATTTTGGGATTTCCTGGTTTGTACATAATAAATGGAGATAGCTGTGGTGGTATTGGTTATGGATTATGTTATATTGATCCATTATCATCAATTTTTATAGGAAACATTTTTCTTTATCCCTTTTAGTTTATTAATCATAACAAAATTTAATGTAGATAATTCCAATTTTGATTTTTTTTTAGAAATCTTGGTTTATTATTATGTTATGTTAGGGTTATGATTATTTGTTATGGCAATGTTGTTAACAATAAAATTAGCAATAACATTTGTTCTAAAAATATTTTTATAACATGGCTCGATTCCCGATTGTTACAACTACTTGAAAAAACATCAAATTCATCAAATTTTAAAATTTTCGTATTTTTCTCAATATTGACGCATATGAGAGCAAAAATACAAGAGAACAATATTGTTAAGAATAAGATAAGCAACAACTTTTGTTCTAAAAGTTTTTTGATAACATGCTGCAATTCCCGAATATTACCATTAACTAGTAGTAAAACAAAAAATTCATCAAATTTTTAAATTTTTGAATTTTTCTCAATATTGACGCATCTGAGAGCAAAAATACAAGAGAGCAATATTGTTAAGAATAAGATAAACAACAACTTTTGTTCTAAAAGTTTTTTGATAACATGCTTCAATTCGCGAATGTTACCATTAGCTAATAGTAAAATAAGGAAATTCATAAATTTTCGTATTTTTCTCAATATTGATGCATCTGAGAGTAAAAATACAAGAGAGCAATATTGTTAATAACAAAATTTGCAACAACTTTTGTTCTAAAAGTTTTTTGATAACATGCTTCAATTCCCGAATATTACCATTAATTAATAGTAAAACAAAAATTCATCAATTTTTTTAATTTTCGTATTTTTCTCAATATTGACGCATCTGAGAGCAAAAATACAAGAGAGCAATATTGTTAAGAATAAAATTTGCTACAACTTTTGTTCTAAAAGTTTTTTTATGACATGCTTCCATTCAAAAATATTATCATTACCGACTTAAAACAATAAAATTCATCAAATTTTCGTATTTTTCTCAATATTGACGCATCTGAGAGCAAAAATACAAGAGAGCAATATTGTTAAGAACAAAATTTGCAACAACTTTTGTACTAAAAATTTTTTGATAACATGCTCCGATTTCCAAATGTTACCATTAGCTAATAATAAAACAAAGAATTCATCAAATTTTTAAATTTTCGTATTTTTCTCAATATTGACGCATCTGAGAGTAAAAATACAAGAGAGCAATATTGTTAAGAATAAGATCAGCAACAACTTTTGTTCTAAAAATTTTTTGATAACATGCTTCAATACCAAAATATTACCATTAATTAATAGTAAAACAAAAAATTTATCAAATTTTTAAATTTTCGCATTTTTCTCAATATTGACGCATCTGAGAGCAAAAATACAAGAGAGCAATATTGTTAAGAACAAGATAAGCAACAACTTTCGTCTTAAAATTTTTTTCGTAACATGCTCAGATTATCAGGTTGCCTACAAATAAAATATTCTCCAATTCATAAATTTATTTAATAAAACCAAAGAGAGAAAAGTGATTTATTTAAAGAAAATTGCGCCTAAGAGGCTGCAATGGGCGTCTTAGACTTGGTCTGTATAGGTAGGAATAATTTAAACTCAGCCGGTAACTCATCTTCAGCATACAACCTGTCTGAAAAGTAAACTCTTCTAATTCTACAATTGGCGTGCACTTGCACGCGCAACGTCTCGATGTAATTAGTCCCATAGGCTCTCCTGGTGAAATCAGCCACATTAAATTGCACTTGATTCCATCCTTCGTCCAATCTCATTGGCATGGTGCAAATAAAAGGCTTCACTCTTGTAGTGGATTGATAATTACTCGCGCGAAATCTCCTCCTTACATTTTTATCATCCAAAATCTTAAAAGAAAATACGAATTAATATTAATTTAGATCAAAATTGAGGTTAAATCTCTTACCTGTACTTCAAATGTGAAATATTTTTTTAGATTTTTTACAATCATCACTAAATATGGTAATTTGATGCCAAGGGTTTTTCTTGGATCAGCTGGGCAAGTGATATAAGTGGTGCTAACATTGCACCCAATCACTTCAAGCACTAAAGATTGGATATCTTCGTCGGTGATCCGCTTGATGTGACCATTTTTGACCTTTTTGTCCCAAATTTGCAACGGCTTACTCCCTATGCTGTACAAAATCGAAAGGAAACCACTTTGAAAGGTATTCTTGAACATTTTCTCTCGTCGAGTGTTAACGGTTTTAAGTATACGACCAATTTAAAAGGGCGAAATCCATTTATAATCGAGTTTTGGCTCGAATTTTATTGACATTTGTTTGGATGAAATTCTAAGTTGAGGTTATGTTGTTTGTTTTGGCGCGGTATGTTGGTTGCCTATCTTTCCGGTTAAAAATTAATTAATAATAATTATAAAGAAATTAAATTTAATTGAAAAAAACGTTTTTAAACAAAAATCGCTTATAATAAATTAATATAAGATAATTAATAACCAAATTAAGATTAATTAAAATGAATTTTATGAAATTGTAGATTGAGTTATGTTGGTTGCCTAACTTTGCGGTTAAAAAATTAATTAATCATAACTAATTAAATAAACGCGATTGGGGAAAAAAACTAAATAAAATTGAGGAAAATGTTTTTGGACTAAAATCGTTCGTAATAAACCAATAACTAAATTAAGATTAATTAAAATCAATTTTATGAAATTATATTCTGAAGTTAAGTTGGTTGCCTAACTTTGCGGTTAAAAAATTAATTAATTATAAATAATTAATCATAACTAATTAAATAATTGGGCAATTGGGGAAAATGTTTTTAAACAAAAATCGTTCGTACTAAACCAATATAACATAATCCATAACCAAATTAACCAATTAATGAATATATTAATAATTTATTAAAAATATATTAAAATATTAAAAATCAAAAATTAAAAGTGATTGTGGAAAATTATTGTGTATATAAATTGTTTATAATGATCTAAAAAGACATAAATTTTCCTATTTTCTTTTTTATCTAAAGAGCAACAAATTCATAAAATTATCATATTTTCATATTCATATTTTTTATTCTCATATTTTAGTATCTATCTCGATATTGACGTATCTGAGAGCAAAAGTGCAAGAGAGCAATATTGTTAACAATAAAATTTCCAATAATTTTTCTCTTATAGCTCTTATAGCAAGCTCCGATTTTTAAGTGTTACCTTCAATGTCTTGAAAGAGCAACAAATTCATCAAATTTTCATATTTTCGTATCTATATCGATATTGACGCATCTAACAGCAAAAGTACAAGAGAGCAATATTGTTAACAATAAAATTTGCAACAATTTTTATTATAAAAGTTTTTTTATAGCAAGCTCCGACTCCCGAGTGTTACCTTTAACCTTTAGAGGACCGGGACCACCACTTAAGTAGTGGTCTATGTTATCAGTACTTTGTGTATGATAAATATATTATATGAAGTACATTTTGTATCGATTTTCTTCAGACAATATGTTACCTAAAATCCCGGCCAGCTAAAGGTTAATATCTTGAAAAATAAATTTCTTAAATTTTCATATTTTTGAATTTCTCTCAATATTGACGCATCCAAGAGCAAAAGTGCAAGAGAGCAATATTGTTAAGAATAACATAAGCAACAATTTTTGTTATAAAAGTTTTTTGATAACATGCTTCAATTCCCGAATGTTACCATTAGCTAATAGTAAAACAAGGAATATCATCAAATTTCTAAATTTTCGTATTTTTCTCAATATTGACGCATCTGAGAGCAAAAATACAAGAGAGCAATATTGTTAATAACAAAATTTGCTACAACTTTTATTATAAAAGTTGTTTGATAACATGCTGCGATTCCCAAATATTACCATTAGATAATAATAAACGAAGAAAATTCATCAAATTTTTAAATTTTCCTAATTTTCTTAATATTGACGCATCTAAGAGTAAAAATATAAGAGAGCAATATTGTTAAGAATAAGATTAGCTACAACTTTTGTTCTAAAAGTTTTTTGATAACATGCTCCGATTCCCAAATGTTACCATTAGCTAATAGTAAAATAAAGAAATTCATCAAATTTCAAAATTTTCGTATTTTTCTCAATATTGACGAATTGGAAAGCAAATATACAGAAGAGCAATATTGTTAAGAACAAAATTTGTTACAACTTTTGTTCTAAAAGTTTTTTGATAACATGCTCCGATTCCCAAATGTTACCATTAGCTAATAGTAAAACAAGAAAATTCATCAAATTTTTTAATTTTCGTATTTTTCTCAATATTGATGCATATAAAAGCAAAAGTGCAAGAGAGCAATATTGTTAAGAATAAAATTTGCTACAACTTTTGTTCTAAAAGTTTTTTGATAACATGCTCCGATTCCCAAATATTACCATTAGCTGATAGTAAAACACAAAATTCATAACATTTTTAAATTTTCATATTTTTTTCAATATTGACGCATCTGAGACCAAATATACAACAGAGCAATATTGTTAAGAATAAAATTTTCTATAACCATTGTTTCGAAAGTTTTTATGTAAAATGCTCTGTTTCACAAATAGTACCATCATGCAATAAATGCAATCAATTCATCCAATTTTCAAATTTTAATATTTTTCTCAATATTGACGCATCTGAGAGCAAAAATGAAAGAGAGCAATATTGTTAACCATAAAATTTGCAACAATTTTTATTATAAAAGTTTTCTTATAGCAAGCTCCGATTCCCAATTGTTACCTTTAATCACTTGAAAGAGTAACAAATTCATAATATTTTCATATTTTCGTAATATTGACGCATCTAAGAGCAAAAATGCAAGAGAGCAATATTGTTAACAATAAAATTTGCAATAATTTTTGTTATAAAAGTTTTCTTATAGCAAGCTCCGATTCTCAATTGTTACCTTTAATCACTTGAAAGAGTAACAAATTCATCAAATTTTCATATTTTTGTATTTTTCTCAATATTGACGCATCTGAGAGCAAAAATATCAGAGAGCAATATTGTTAATAATAAAATTTGCAACAACTTTTGTTCTAAAAGCTTTTTTGTATCATTCTCCAATTTTCGAGTGCTATAATTATCTACTAGTAAAACAACGAAAAACATCAAATTTTCGTATTTTCGTATCTATCTCGACATTGACGAATCTGAGAGCAAATATACAACAGAGCAATATTGTTAACAATGAGATTTGCAACAATTTTTGTTATAAATGTTTTTTTATAGTAAACTCCGATTCCCGAGTGCTACCTTTAATATCTTGAAAAATAAATTTCTTAAATTATCATATTTTCTTCAATATTGATGCATCTAAGAGCAAACGTGCAAGAGAGCAATATTATTAACAACAAAATTTGCAACAATTTTTGTTCTAAAAGTTTTTTTATAGCATGCTCCGATTCCAAGGTGTTACCTATAATAACTTGAAACAGCAACAAATTCACCAAATTTTGATATTTTCGTATCTATCTCGATATTGACGCATCTAAGAGCAAAAATGCAAGAGAGCAATANTTTGCAACAATTTTTGTTCTAAAAGTTTTTTTATAGCATGCTCCGATTCCAAGGTGTTACCTATAATAACTTGAAACAGCAACAAATTCACCAAATTTTGATATTTTCGTATCTATCTCGATATTGACGCATCTAAGAGCAAAAATACAAGAGAGCAATACTGTTAACAACTTCTAAAAGTTTTTTTATAGCAAGCTCCGATTCCCGAGTGTTACCTTTAATATCTTGAAATATAAATTTCTTAAATTTTCATATTTTTGTATTTTTCTCAATATTGACGCATCTAAGAGCAAAAGTGCAAGCGAGCAATATTGTTAACGATAAAATTTGCAACAATTTTTGTTCTAAAAGTTTTTGTGTATCATGTTCCGATTTTGGAGTGCTACCATTATTTACTAGTAAAACAACGAAAAACATCAAATTTTCATATTTTTGTATTTTTCTCAATATTTACGCATCTGAGAGCAAAAGTGCAAGAGAGCAATATTGTTAACAACAAAATTTGCAACAACTTTTGTTATAAAGGTATTTTTATATCATACTCCGATTCCCGACTGCTACCCATTAACTTGTAGTAAAACAACGAAAAACATCAAATTTTCATATTTTTGTAATTTTCTCAATATTGACGCATCTGAGAGCAAATATACAAGAGAGCAATATTGTTAATAACAAAATTTGCAACAACTTTTGTTGCAAAAATTTTTGATAACATGCTTTGATTTCCAAATGTTACCATTAGCTAATAGTAAAACAAGGAAATTCATAAAATTTTCATATTTTCGTATATATCTCGATATTGACGTATCTAGCAACAAAAGTGCAAGAGAGGAATTTTGTTAACAATAAAATTTGCAACAATTTTTGTTATAAAATTTTTTTATAGCAAGCTCCGATTCCCGAGTGCAACCGTTAATATCTTGAAAAATAAATTTCTTAAATTTTCATATTTTTGTATTTTTCTCAATATTGACGCACCTGAGAGCAAGACGAGAAGAGAGCAATATAGGTAAGAATAAAATTTGCTACAACTTTTGTTCTAAAAGTTTTTTTGTAACATGTTCCGATTCCCAAATGCTACCATTAATTACTAGTAAACAACGAATTTTTCAAATTTTCATATTTTTGTATTTTTCTCGATATTGACGCATCTAAGAGCAAAAGTGCAAGAAACCAATATTGTTAAGAATAAAATTTGCAACAATTTTTGTTATAAAAGTTTTCTTATAGCATGCTCCGATTTCCAAGTGTTACCTATAATATCTTGAAAGAGCAACAAATTCATCAAATTTTTATATTTTCGTATCTATCTCGATATTGACGCATCTAAGAGTAAAAGTGCAAGAGAGCAATATTGTTAACAATAAAATTTGCAACAATTTTTGTTATAAATGTTTACTTATAGCATTCTCCGATTCCTAAACGTTACCTTTAATATTTTGAAAAAGTAACAAATTCATCAAATTTTCGTATATATCTCGATATTGACGCATAAAAGAGCAAAACTGCAAGAGAGCAATATTATTAACAATAAAATTTGCAACAATTTTTGTTATAAAAGTTTTTTTATAACATGCTTCGATTCCCGAATGTTACCATTAGCTTATAGTAAAACAACAAAATTCATCAAATTTTCATATTTTCGTATCTATCTCGATATTGACGCATCTAAGAGCAAAAGTGCAACAGAGCAATATTGTTAACAAGAGAATTTGCAACAATTTTTGTTACAAAAGTTTTTTTATAGCAAGCTCTGATTCCTAAATGTTACCTATAGTATCTTGAAAGAGCAACAAATTCATCAAATCTTCATATTTTCGTATCTATCTCGATATTGACGCATCTAAGAGCAATAGTGCAACAGAGCAATATTGTTATCAATGAAACTAGCAACAATTTTTGTTCAAGCAACAAATTCATCAATCTTTTGTATATATCTCGATATTGACGCATCTAAGAGTAAAAGCGTAAAAGAGCAATATTGTTAACAATGAAATTAGCAACAATTTTTGTTATAAAAGTTTTCTTATAATATACTACGATTACCTTTAATATCTTGAAAGAGCAACAAATTCATCAAATTTTCGTATATATCTCGATATTGACGCATTTAAGAACAAAAGTGTAAGAGAGCGATATTGTTAAGAATAAAATTTGCAACAATTTCAAAAGTGAAAAATATATAAAAATTAATTTTAAAATATTGCGTATAGGCAACCCAACATACTTTTTATTTCTTAAGTATTTCAAGGTTATGGTTAATGAAACATCCACATTAGAGTTGTTGAATTAAATTAGTTATTAATTTTAAATTGTTATAAAAAATTTTTTTTTTAAATAAAAAAAGCGTCGATTTTTTTGTAATGGTATCCAGGCGTGAAAATTGTCAAGATGCCCCCTCCACGCACCTGGCACCACGTTGCCACTTTTCCGTACGCTCAACTCCACACTTTTTGTTCTTCTCCCTTTACGATTTTTTTTTTCAACCTCGATTTTTCCGCGTCCTTTATCCCGTTTCATTTTCGCAGTACGAAAATTCAACACAAATTAACAAAAAAACGGTTAAAAAAAATAAACATACAATAGATAAACGGTGCAAGAAAAGAAAAAAAAGAAGTGCGGCGTGAAGTTGCACGCGATTTGAAGCGTCTAGTGATCGGCAAACGGCGGCGTTATGTGTCAAAAAAGAGAGAATCCACAACTGGATATTCCTGAATGAGTACGACGAAGGGTGGGCGAAGAGAACCAACTTTATTGATTTTTTCGTCCCTCAACAAAAAAAAAACCACCTCAACAATAATAATACGAACAAAAATAAGTGCGAAAAAGTTTAGTGAGATAGTTTAGATCGGTGTGTTGTGACCACCTTTAAAATACAAAAAAATAATAATAATATAAATAAATAAATAAAGTACAATGTGGTGTACATGTGACCCTGGTTTATTCGGCTTCGTTTCTTTTTAAAAATGGAGGAGCGATTTATGAGGAACGATTTTTGCCCGAAACCCAAGAAAAAAATCTGACCACTTCGTTAATTTTATTAAAAATAAACAGGTAAAGTTTTTTTTAATACAACATAACCTCAATTTCAATTAAAAATACTTTGACGTTTTCTAAAAAAAAGCGATTAGGCAACCCAATATACGCATTTCGATTTAATTAATATTTTATTACAAATATTTAATAAACACATAAAAATCGTTTTATTTATGTTTATTTTTGTTAATAATAAATTAATTTTGATTTAAAGCGGTTTAATTTAAAAAAAGGGTCCGTAAAACAGACCAAAACAATAAAAAAAAAAGCGATTAGGCAACCGAGTATACTTATTTTGATTCAATTAATTTTTTGTTACAAATATTTAATAAATACATAAAAATCGTTTTATTTATGCTTATTTTTTTTAATAATAAATTAATTTTAATTTAAAACGGTTTAATTTTAAAAAACAGTCCATAACAATAAAAAAAAGCGATTAGGCTTTCGATTACGCTTATTTTTGTTAATAATAAATTAATTTTGATTTAAAACGATTTAATTTTAATTAAAGGTTCATAACAATAAAAAAAGAAGCGATTTGGCAACCCAATATACATATTTTATTTTAATTAATTTTTATTACAAATATTTAATAAATACATAAAAATGGTTTCATTTCCGATTTTAATTACACTTATTTTTGTTAATAATAAATTAATTTTGATTTAAAACGATTTAATTTTAATTAAAGGTTCATAACAATAAAAAAAAAAGCGATTGGGCAACCCAATATACATATTTTATTTTAATTAATTTTTATTACAAATATTTAATAAATACATAAAAATCGTTTCATTTCTGATTTTATTTACGCTTATTTTTGTTAATAATAAATTAATTTTGATTTAAAACGGTTTAATTTTAATAAACGGTCCATAACAATAAAAAAAAAGCGATTAGGCAACCTAATATACTTATTCCAATTTAATTAATTTTTTATTTCAAATATTTAATAAACACAAAAATCGTTTCATTTCCGATTTTGATATTTATTTTTGTTAATAATAAATTAATTTTGATTTAAAACGATTTAATTTATAAAAACGGTCCATAACAATAAAAAAAAAGCGATTAGGCAACTCAATATACTTATTTTAATTAATTTTTATTACAAATATTTAATAAATATATAAAAATCGTTTCATTTCCGATTTTATTTACGCTTATTTTTGTTAATAATAAATTAATTTTGAGTTAAAACGGTTTAATTTTAATTAAAGATTCATAACAATAAAAAAAAATCGATTAGGCAACCCAATATACTTATTTTATTTTAATTATTTTTTATTACAAATATTTAAGAAATACATAAAAATCGTTTCATTTCCGATTTTATTTACGCTTATTTTAGTTAATAATAAATTAATTTTGATTTAAAACGATTTAATTTTAATTAAAGGTTCATAATTCATAACAATAAAAAAAAAAGCGATCAGGCAACCCAATATACTTATTTTATTTTAATTATTTTTTATTACAAATATTTAATAAATACATAAAAATCGTTTTATTTCCGATTTTATTAATAATTTTGATGCTAATTTTTGTTAATAATAAATTAATTTTGATTTAAAACGGTTTAATTTTAATAAACAATCCATAACAATTAAAAAAAAAAGCGATTAGGCAACCCAATATACTTATTCCGATTTAATTAATTTTTATTACAAATATTTAATAAACACAAAAATCGTTTCATTTCCGATTTTATTTCCGCTTATTTTTGTTAATAATAAATTAATTTTGATTTAAAACGGTTTAATTTTAATAAACGGACCATAACAACAACAAAAAAAACGATTAGGCACCCAATTCTGATTTAATTATTTTTTTATTACAAATATTTAATAAATAAATAAAAATCGTTTCATTTCCGATTTTGATATTTATTTTTGTTAATAATAAATTAGTTTTGATTTAAAACGGTTTAATTTTAAAAAGTGGTCGGTAAAACAGACCAAAACAACAAAAAAAAGCAGTTAGGCAACCCAATATACTTACTCCGATTTAATTAATTTTTATTACAAATAAATAATAAACACATAAAAATCGTTTCATTTCCCATTTTATTAACGATTTTGATGTTTATTATTGTTAATGATACATTTAAAACGGTTTAATTTTGAAAAGCGGTCGGTAAAACAGATCGGCTGTGTAAAAAAGTAAAAATGGCGGCGCTCTGTGTGACAACAACGTGAGTCTCTCGTAAATTTCGTTTTTTTCGTTATCCGAGTCGTTTTATTGAGTTATTTAAGCGGTTTTATCGGTGTGTGATTATTTTTTGTGATAATCGTTGAGGTAAAATGTTGAGTGGTGCGTGTAAAGTTTGGTGAAAAAGTTCGAAAAGGGGGCAAAAAAGCATGGTTTGGGACGAAAATTTAATAGTATGAGACAGGGTCGATCCGCCCAGAAGAAGGCAAAATGTAATTACGTTAAGATATTCGAAAATTTCGCTAAATCAAAATTCGGCGGTTTGTTTTTGAGGTTATGTTTTTGGTAGCGTGCGTTTTTGACAAGGCGAGGGATTTTTCCCGATTTCACGTTTATTTTGCTAAAAAGGTAGACTTTTTCTTTGTTTCTAATTGTTTCTAATTGATTTAGTTAATTTTGCGGGATTTTTTGATAAATTCGGTTAAATGACGTTTTTAAATTTGACATTGACGTTTATTAAAAATTTGACGTTTATGGAAAAATTAATTTTTTAGGCCTAAGTCGAGTCGGTAGGGTACACCAGGGCCCCGTCAAGCTGCCCGTCACGCTGGAGGACCCCGTGCCGTGGAAAGGCCCCACGATCGGTGCCGGTTCGGATCCCCAAAACACGTTCAGCGGTTCTTCCGCGAATTCTTTCTCGGGGGGGATTCAAGGGCCATCTCCATTTCCAGGGGGGCACCCAACGGGCGCGGGGTCGCCCGCTGGGGGGCCCCCTTATCTCGTCCCCGCCCCCGGATCAACGACGCCCCAATACACCGCCTCTCCAGCACCAAGTGGCTCTTCAACTCCGGGTCCGGGACCTGGGTCGGGACCTGGAGCGCCTCAAGGACCATCTTTTGGGCCCCCCCCACCGAACGGAGCGGGGCCACCTTATAATGGACCGGGACCTGGAGGTAAAATACCAATTGGAGCCAAAAACATCCTAATTAATCCTGATTTAGGTCCCTTTGGGTCTCCTTCCGCCGGGGGGCCGAGTCCTTTCGCGAGGGTAGCCCCCTCGGGGCCGCCTTTCGTACCCGGCGGTCCAGGACCTGGGGGAAACCCGCATTTTGTATCTCCAGGGCAACCTTTTGGAGCCCCCGGATTCGGAATGCCGCCGGGATCTCCGTTTGGCCCCGGACCGGGGCACCCAATGTCCGCTCAAATGGGACCTGGACACTCCATGATGCACCAAATGGGAGGTACAAATCCGGTGGATAGGCTGGACCAAGGGTGAGTTATTAAAGTTATTAAAAGTACCATGACCTGGGATAAAATTTGCGTTTCTACGTTTTTTTTTTATTTATTTTGGGGCCCCCTCGCTTCTTATGCTCTTTCCCCATTGATTTTGTTAGCGGTAGAGCAGTTCCCCTTTAAGCTATTTAGTTGGCGGTTCCAGCGTAAAGGAACAAAGTCTGGAGCGGTACGGAGGTAACATCGGAACCGAGTATCGAGCGTTTCGTGGAGTGGTATTTTTTCGAAAAAAAATCCAAAATACTTTATTCGTGTCTCTCTCGGAAGAATCGAAAGAATCTCTTTATAGAGGGGGGAATGAGCCTCTTTTATATTAGAAAAGAAATTTGTTGTTGATAACAAGATGAAAATAAATTTGATATGTAGTCATTAATATCTACTAAGAATAAGTACATAATATAAAAAAGATCGAATTTGGCGAAAAAGTTTTAATGGAAAGGGATGAAACGTTCGAGGCGAAGCCTCAGCTGCGACTGTGGTTCCTGGTGCACCTGTATGTGCGTCCACGCCAGGCACCGCTGCACTACGCACAGGGCCGTACTCGTACTCGTTATATTTGCTTTTATTACCGTTTAATATTTTGGGCTGCCTCTGATAATTGCAACATCTTACTTTAAAAAGGTTCTAAATATTCTCTGAAGTCGAGTTTACTAGACTCGAAAATTTAATGAATTTCGTTTTCTTATTTATTTGCTCTCAGGTGCATCAATATTGAGAAAAATACGAAAATTTAAAAAATTGATCTCGAAAATTTAATGAATTTCGTTTTCTTGTTTATTTGCTCTCAGGTGCATCAATATTGAGAAAAATACGAAAATTTAAAAAATTGATGAATTTTCTTGTTTTAATATTAGCTAATGGTAACACTTCGAAATCGGAGAATGTTATCAAAAAACTTTTATAATAAAAGTTGTTGCAAATTTTGTTCTTAACAATATTGCTCTCTTGTTTATTTGCTCTCAGATACGTCAATATTGAGAAAAATATGAAAATTTAAAAAATTGATGAATTTTCTTGTTTTACTATTAGCTAATGGTAACATTTCGAAATCGGAGAATGTTATCAAAAAACTTTTATAACAAAAGTTGTTGCAAATTTTGTTCTTAACAATAGTGCTCTCTTATATATTTGCTCTCAGATGCGTCAATATTGAGAAAAATACGAAAATTTAAAAAATTTATGAATTTCTTTGTTTTACTATTATCTAATGGTAATATTTGGGAATCGGAGCATGTTATCAAAAATACTTTTGGAACAAAAGTTGTTGCAAATTTTATTCTAAGCAATATTGCACTCTTGTATATTTGCTCTCAGATTCGTCAATATTAAGAAAAATTCAAAAATTTGAAAATTTGATGAATTTTTTGTTTTACTTGTGTTAATGGTCACATTTGGGAATCGGAGTATGTTATCAAAAAACTTTTAAAACAAAAGTTGTAGCAAACTTTGTTATGAGCAATATTGCTCTCTTGTTTATTTGCTCTCAGGTGCATCAATATTGAGAAAAATACTAAAATTTAAAAAAATGATGAATTTTCTTGTTTTACTATTAGCTAATGGTAACATTTCGAAATCGGAGAATGTTATCAAAAAACTTTTATAGCAGAAGTTGTTGCAAATTTTGTTATTAACAATATTGCTCTCTTGTTTATTTGCTCTCAGGTGCATCAATATTGAGAAAAATACGAAAATTTAAAAAATTGATGAATTTTNTTACTAGACTCGAAAATTTAATGAATTTCGTTTTCTTATTTATTTGCTCTCAGGTGCATCAATATTGAGAAAAATACGAAAATTTAAAAAATTGATAAATTTTCTTGTTTTACTATTAGCTAATGGTAACATTTCGAAACCGGAGAATGTTATCAAAAAACTTTTATAACAAAAGTTGTTGCAAATTTTGTTCTTAACAATATTGCTCTCTTGTTTATTTGCTCTCAGGTGCGTCAATATTGAAAAAAGTACAAAAATTTAAAAATTTTATGAATTTCCTTATTTTACTATTAGCTCATGATAATATTCAGAAATCTAAGCATGTTATCAAAAAATTTTTAGAACGAAAGTTGTCACTTATCCTATTCTTAACAATATTACTCTCTTGTATTTTTGCTCTCAGATGCGTCAATGTTGAGAAAAATACGAAAATTTAAAAAATTGATGAATTTCTTTGTTTTACTATTATCTAATGGTAATATTTGGGAATCGGAGCATGTTATCAAAAAACTTTTATAACAAAAGTTGTTGCAAATTTTGTTCTTAACAATATTGCTCTCTTGTTTATTTGCTCTCAGATACGTCAATATTGAGAAAAATACGAAAATTTAAAAAATTGATGAATTTTTTTATTTTACTATTAGCTCATGATAATATTCAGAAATCTAAGCATGTTATAAAACAACTTTTAGAACAAATGTTGTTGCAAATTTTGTTTTTAACAATATTGCTCTCTTATGTTTTTGCTCTAAGATGTGTCAATATTGAAAAAAATACGAAAATTGAAAAAATTTATGAATTTTCTTGTTTTACTATTAGCTAATGGTAACATTCGGGAATTGAAGCATGTTATCAAAAACCTTTTAGAACAAAAGTTGTGGCAAATCTTGTTATTAATAATATTGCTCTCTTGAATTTTTGCTCTCAGATTCGTCAATATTGAGAAAAATTTAAAAATTTGATCAATTTTTTGTTTTACTATTAGCTAATGGTAACATTCAGGAATTGAAGCATGTTATCAAAAAACTTTTAGAACAAAAGTTGTTGCAAATTTTGTTCTTAACAATATTGCTCTCAGATGTGTCAATATTGAGAAAAATTTGATAAAATTTTGTTTTGCTATTAATCAATGGTAACATTCGGGAATTGAAGTATGTTATCAAAAAACTTTTAGAACGAAAGTTGTTGCAAATTTTGTTATTACCAATATTGCTCTCTTGTTTATTTGCTCTCAGATGCATCAATATTGAGAAAAATACTAAAATTTAAAAAATTGATAAAATTTCTTGTTTTACTATTAGCTAACGGTAACATTTCGAAATCGGAGAATGTTATCAAAAAACTTTTAGAACAAAAGTTGTTGCAAATTTTGTTATTAACAATATTGCTCTCTTGTATTTTTGCTCTCAGATGCGTCAATATTGAGAAAAATACGAAAATTTAAAAAATTGATGAATTTTCTTGTTTTACTATTAGCTAATGGTAACATTTCGAAATCGGAGAATGTTATCAAAAAATTTTTAGAACAAAAGTTGTAGCAAATTTTGTTTTTAAGAATATTGCTCTGTTGTATATTTGCTCTCAGATGCGTCAATATTGAGAAAAATACAAAATTTAAAAATTTGATGAATTTCCTTATTTTACTATTAGCTCATGGTAATATTCAGAAATCTAAGCATGTTATAAAAAAACTTTTAGAACAAAAGTTGTTGCAAATTTTGTTCTTAACAATGTTGCTCTCTTATGTTTTTGCTCTAAGATGTGTCAATATTGAAAAAAATACGAAAATTGAAGAAATTGATGAATTTTCTTGTTTTACTATTAGCTAATGGTAACATTCGGGAATTGAAGCATGTTATCAAAAAACTTTTATAACAATAGTTGTTGCAAATTTTGTTATTAACAATATTGCTCTCTTGTTTATTTGCTCTCAGGTGCATCAATATTGAGAAAAATACGAAAATTTAAAAAATTGATGAATTTTCTTGTTTTAATATTAGCTAATGGTAACACTTCGAAATCGGAGAATGTTATCAAAAAACTTTTATAATAAAAGTTGTTGCAAATTTTGTTATTAACAATATTGCTCTCTTGTATTTTTGCTCTCAGATACGTCAATATTGAGAAAAATACGAAAATTTAAAAATTTGATCAATTTCCTTATTTTACTATTAGCTCGTTTTAATATTCAGAAATCTAAGCATGTTATAAAAAAACTTTTAGAACAAAAGTTGTTGCAAATTTTGTTATTAATAATATTGCTCTCTTGTATTTTTGCTTTCAGATGCGTCAATATTGAAAAAAATTAAAAAATTTGATCAATTTTTTGTTTTGCTATTAGTTAATGGTAACATTCGGGAATTGAAACATGTTATCAAAAAACTTTTAGAACAAAAGTTGTTGCAAATTTTGTTATTAATAATATTGCTCTCTTGTATTTTTGCTCTCAGATACGTCAATATTGAGAAAAATTAAAAAATTTGATCAATTTTTTGTTTTGCTATTAGTTAATCATGTTATCAAAAAACTTTTAGAACAAAAGTTGTTGCAAATTTTGTTATTAATAATATTGCTCTCTTGTATTTTTGCTCTCAGATACGTCAATATTGAGAAAAATTAAAAAATTTGATCAATTTTTTGTTTTGCTATTAGTTAATGGTAACATTCGAGAATTGAAGGATGTTATCAAAAAACTTTTAGAACAAAAATTGTTGCAAATTTTGTTATTAACACTATTGCTCTGTTGTGTATTTGCTCTCAGATGCGTCAATATTGAGAAAAATACGAAAATTTAACAATTTGATGAATTTCTTTGTTTTACTACTAGTTAATGGTAACATTTGGGAATCGAAGCATGTTACAAAAATACTTTTAGAACAATAGTTGTAACAAATATTATTCTTAACAATATTGTTCTCTTGTACAGGGTGTCCAAATTTCGATGGGTTTGCAGGGTATCTCAGTTATTATGAAAGATAGAAAGTTGCGGCTGTCGCGAACCTGAGCTATTTTTTTGTGAAACTTACAATGGCGCAAACCAAATTTTCATAGCCCTCTTCGTTTTTAATATACAGGAAGTGTTTCAAAATTTACGATTTTCAGACACCTCTATCTCCGCCGGACGGCATAGTGTTAACAGTATGGCCCTCTTGTATATTTGNGAGCTACTTTTTTGTGAAACTTACAATGGCGCAAACCAAATTTTCATAGCCCTCTTCGTTTTTAATATACAGGAAGTGTTTCAAAATTTACGATTTTCAGACACC